AAGGGTTTTAAACCAATGTTTTTTATTGGGTTATATATATCTAATTATATTTATTATAGATAGTGTAATTATTTTTACTTTTATTTATTTTTATTTTGGTTTTTCTTGGAAGCTAATCATTCTGGTTTCAATTTACATATTAAAGTATACAGAATCTAATAAAACGAACTATCCCTAAATTTATGGCGTCCAGTTGCACGTATTTGATCTAATTTTCATTTGATATGAGATTTAATAATATATATATATATATATATTCATACATATATATATGTATACTATATATATACTGTATGGGCGTTCTATTTTTTTTGTGCGAGGCATCGTACTAGCATGTAGGTACGTACGTACCAGTGAACTATAAGAATTATATTGTAACTGCAGGTTTTGTATTTACCAAACACACAAAAGGACCAACCGCATTATTTAAGAATGTTGCTCAAAATATTTTAAATCTTTAAATATAACTCATTTTCTCCAATTTTTTTTTTTTTTTGTTAAAAAGTTTTTTATTCATAGTAAAAAGTTATGTTAAATCGACCATGACGGTTTCTGATCGGCATATACATTTTTTTTTGGAACCCCGCCCCGAACAAATTGCGTAAGTTTTCTTTTTTTTTTTTTTAGTCCGAGACGCGCAAATAGATCGAAAATAATCATCAATCAAGCATTACAGTTACAGGTACAGGTTGGAAGTCTCTCAAGAACCTGTACGAGCAAGAATGTGTGGTTTCGGGGACAAAGATCGTCGTCCAATAGATCCGCCGCCCGTTGTTAGGCTTATTGTGACATCTACAGATGGAACATCCGTACCTGAAAGGTAATGTCTTACCTTACCAGTATCTAACTTGTTTACATTTTCGTGAGTATAAGTTAAATCTTGATCAATTCATTATCATGAAAATAGTTTCATATTAATCGCGTTATAAAATTGAATTATATTAATAGTTCTATCGACCATTCCATGATGATCGTTCATGCCGGTCTATGGTCCGAAGATTGCAAGGAAGAACATAGCTTAGTAATCAATCCTTCAACCATACCCACTCAATCTGCCGGCCCTAGTTCAACCGTCATGTCTCTGAATACGCCTTCAAGCACACGAAATCTTATGGGACATTGCACCTCGTCCGCGTATGTGCTTAATAATCATTCCGGTCAACAAGGGATTTATTTTATATTTCAAGACCTTTCTGTTCGTACTGAAGGCACCTTCACCTTGAAATTCTCTTTTTGTAACGTTAAAGAGTTAATGACTCAGTAAGTTGTTATTAGCATTACGTAATACTTTTGATACATGTAACACATATCATAGACTTTCTTTGTGGTAGAGATAAATTAAAAAAAATTCATGTAACAAGTAGA